TCTACTGTCTCTAATGCGAGCTGCACATTGGGACATTGCAGCTGCTGTTCGCTCCATTGAATCCGCTTCAGCTGCATCAGACGGAGGAATGTCAGCCTCTGCGTTAGCATTCTCTGCTCAGTCCTCTGTTCCGAACCAGCACGCGAAATTTGCTCTGGAATCTTACATCTGCCGAAAAATCTTCCAAGGATTCGATCACGAAACGTTTTACATGGACGGAAGCCTCTCTTCTCTGATCAACCCGGATCAATACCGTCGTGACTGCTTTGCGCAGTTCAAAGACATGAAAGCAATGGATCCTATGGAGTTGCTAGGGATCTTACCAACTTGCCATTTTGGTAAGTTCTGCTCAAAGAAGTACCTTTCGATCATTCACCACAAAATGGAAGAGTCGTTGTTCGGGGACTCGGAACAGCGGGAGCTGGTTCTAGCTAGAAACCATCCAAGGAGTCAGTTCTATGGAGAGTTTTTGGGGTTAGCTAAAGCGGTCTGGCTGCTTCATCTCTTGGCCTTCTCACTCGACCCATCCCCGAGTCACTTTGAAGCAAACCGAGGAGCCGAGTTTCACTCTCAGTACATGGAGAGCGTGGTGAGGTTCTCGGATGGCCGTGTTCCTGCGGGTCAGGTCGTTGGGTTTCCTGTTTGTCCAGGATTCAAGCTCAGCCATCAAGGGAAAGGATCAATCATCAAATCCAGAGTTTACTTGGTTCCAAGGGCTTAAACCGGTTTTCATTGAGTTTCACTCTTTGTAGTAATGTCGCGTGGATTAGTGTCATGTCCTGTGTTCTTAAGACAATCTAGCTTTGAAATAAAGGAACCGTTTAAACTTTAAACTAAAAAGCTTTTTGGAAAAAAATTTCAAATAAAATTGGATTATATGCTAATAACACATATAATAGAAGTGTATATATATAGATGCTCTAACAATTCGAGGTTTTAGAAGAAATTTATGTTCTAAGGTATGGTTTTTCAACGAGGGATCTCACAATCAATCATACAACACTTCTCTTAGAAACACTTTTTTCACCTGTCACAAAGAGTAAAAGATGAAACAGAGAGAACAAGATTAGAAGAAGAGCAAAACCCAAATTGATCATCATCATCATCAATAGGAAATGAGAATATAAGAAGAATCTATTTACTTGCTCTAGTGTGAGGAACATAACGACATTCCAGGTTCCTAGTCGTGTAAAATTCGGGAGAAATCCTTTGTAGAAGGCCATAATTCCCTGTAAAAATACCCAAACAAAACACACATGATTATTGTATTGAAAGAGAGAGTTTGCTAATTGTAATAGATAATCGGAAAAGGACACAAACCTCGGTCTTCATGGTTTTGATGAAGCAATCAACTGTGTTTCGGTAAGTAGAGTCTCCCATCATTCTAGATTTCACCTGGAACAACATATAAAGAAGAACCATGGCCGTTCCAGGGGCAAATACCAAAGACATCAATCGTTTCCTTCAGTAACTAGTTAAATTTTGTTCTTTTTCCCCTACAATCTAATCTCTCCTTCGGTAGAGCATTATTATCTAATAATGCTGCATTTACCAAAGTAAAACCGCCAAACAAGAGGTCAGGAATATAAATGTGGAAGACACAAACATGTGAGATGCTACATCAATGTCACTTTCAAGGTAGTGCTATGTCCACTCTATGCATGGGACACCGTATTGTCCTTTTACTAGATGTTGTGGAAAAGAGATACACAAGTTTTGTGATAAGAACTCAACCGTCGCCACAAATCTAAAAATAGACACTCAATCATTTACTAAAATCCCTTGTATTCGTTCCCAAAAAGATCATTGATTTAGGCAGTTAGCACTTCATTTCAGATCTATCACATCTCTCTCAAAGTTAATTTAGATATACCACTACTGAAAAAATGATGAGACGGGAGCTAAAGCATCTTGTAATCTTCTTGTTGTTTTTATGCAAAGGAAGAAAATGAAATGCTTACCACATCAATTGGAGAACCGATACAGACAGCAAAGAAGCCTGCAGCTAAACCAGCTAGTAGATGAGTTAGAACACTGTCTCTGAAGCCTGGAATTTTCATAATTGTCTGCATATGTATGGAAGTATTAGAACAAACAAAGACTAAACAAATCACCAGTAGAAGCCAAACATTCTTACAAAACAATAACAAAGCAATTAATGAGAAAGAAATATCACCTCCTTTATTTGATCATAACTAGCTAGCTCTGCAGCGTTTACAATAGCATTCCTTGCAATATTAGGACCAAGCCCTGTCCACAGCGCACTGACTCCTTCCTGTGTAATAAATCAAAAGGTTAGAACTCTCTGCTAATCTAGTATTTTGACATTGGTATTTGAAGAAGATTTGTTTACTAACCAGCTTCACTATGGTGAAATAAGCGTCTACAGCTCCCGCATAACGCCTAGGAACCCCAGCCGGTAGTTTTCCTTCTGATTGAAGCCGAACTTTCACAAGATCAGTTGGATTCGCTACTATAATAGCTATAGCTCCTGTTGTCAGAAAACAGATTCCATTTTATTATGTCAAGCTTTCACTCAAATTACTTCCATGAGACGATCAAAATCAAGAACCCGAACTCACCGGTTAACAAAGCTGCAAGAATCTTTTGATATAGTGGAATATCTCCAATAAAATCGCTTCCAACCAAAAATGTCTTGACCTGGTAAGAGATGGCAAGTAAAACAAATCATCAGATATTAGAGAGTATATACCATAGAAGGAAAGTAATTTTGAGACTCACTGGCTCATATAACCCAATCCTTAATCCACCATAGATGCATTGTCGATGCAGTCCCGCAATAACGCCTTTCCAAAGTCCTGAAATACCTTCTTCTCTCGCTATGGTAGATAGCGTACCAATCGAGCCTCTATACTTAGGCAAATTCTCGCCGTCTCCCGAAGGGATCTTTCTTTGAAGCTGAAGCCTTACTTTAGCTGTGTCCAACGGTACAGTACATAACTGCAGCATCATTTCATTAGGCATGAATGACTAAATATCATAACAGACTTATAGGAGTAAAGCAAACACACACATAAAACATTCAAAAAGTCAACTTTGTTGATGAAATGTAGGAAATTCTCACATAATTCCATGAACACTAAACCTATAGAGCTATATAGCTCAAAAAATTCAATCAGCATCACACGAAATCTCAATAAATGTCGTATAGACTAGACCATGAAAAGCGATTTCAGTAACATCAGTCTCTAACAAAATTTCGAAGATTCAGCAAAATTACCAGTGAATCTGAAACAAAAATTTCTCTGGGCAGATTAAAAAAATGGCTTGTTCTTCAATGACAGTGATTATACTAACAGATGCAGAATTTAACAAGAGAATAAATCGAATCCAAAGAAATCGCACTATGAATACCTCTGCAAAACAAGCTGCGAAAGCGCTACAAATGAAGGTTTCAAGGAACGAAATCTCGATCCTGGGTTTGAGATCCGCCATTGTTTTTGCTCTGGAACAAGATAAGCGAAATCTGAGAAGCACCGATTTGAGCAAAAAACGAAGAAGAAGCTAAAAGAAAAATCAATAAGACTCCAATTTTTTTTTGTTTCTCACTAGCAATGATGATAAATCTTAAGATGGGTTTGTCAATGATTTAAAGAGTAGTAATGAAGAAAAGTGAGATCAAGATTTAAAAAAGGCAGACTCCAATGGCGTAACGAATTTCAGAAAACAAGTACAGAGTCTCAATCTATCTATCGTCTTACTATTTCCACAAGGTACTGTCAAAGGTTTTTTTTTGTTTTCTTCTAAATTTTACATAAATTATCATCTAGAGACCCTCCATTCGAGTTGGAAGGTTTAAGTATACAACAAAGGCACTAGAGGAACCATAGAAATGGTGAATGGAGCTCAACAAAGGGGGGTTTAGCAGAACCAAAGTGAGTGATTCTATAAACGCCGGGTAAGCGGTTTGAGGGATTCCCCATTCGATAGTCGCTTAGCTTTGCGTGTTGAGTTTGAACGGTCTTGACCATGTAAAACGGAGGCTATCGTAAATCGGAACCCATGTCTCTCTTCCCTCGAGCCGCCTCTCAACATGCGCGAAAGTCCCTTCTGTCATCAGATCATTTCTCGGGTTAGCTGACCAGAACTTAACTGTCACAATGTCAGTTCCCTTTCTGAACTTGGAGAACTGAGGAACATCCACTATGACATCTTGAATGTTAAGTTTCTTGAATTCAAGAAGATCATTTGCTAGTTTCTTGAATGTATCCGCTTAGCGTGTGAGGTCCATTAGTCCATACAAATTCGATAGTCGCTGAGCTCCAATTCAGATTATGTATGTGGAAATTAGTGTAAAACCGGATCAAGTTTTAAACCGCGAAAAGTGGTTGTAGAGGCAAGCCAATTCCGGTCAAACTTTTCATATTGTTATTCTATATATGGTTTCTAACTCGATTTTCAACTTGACCTGTTTCTAATATAAACTCTGATTGTATAGGAAAGTCGTTTGTTCAAATGATGGACGCGTGAAGGTTTAACATGCTTGTTGCTTGATCTCACAAATGCAAAATCTGACGTGCAAGAATTCAATATAACAAAAAGCATTTTGAAAGAAGAGGTTCAAGCTCATCGAAACCAAATTCCTCGAATCAAAAAGATTGTTTAAATTATTTGAACTAATTGTAGGGCAAATTTCTAAATATACCAACATTGTTGTCGTGAGAAAGATTGATGTGAAGAACATGTATGAATATTTGTAAATGGAGACTGCAAGTCTGTGACTAAATTCTGAATCAAGTGTTTTTCACATTTCAGTGAGTGGGAAAAACATAGGTAACATTGGTCAAAACTCAGAAGTAAAGGGGTAAAATTATAATTTATCAAAGATGTGATTGGTACTGTTTGTGCTAAACCAAAATTTCTGATTCTCATCTTCTCTCCTAAACCTCTCTCAGTCGCCGATCTCGGCCAGAAGAACTCATCAGTGACGGAACAA